CCCTCGCCCCCTCGGGAGGGCCGGCTGCGCGGCGGCGGGGAGGGCAACACCCAGCGCCGGGGCAGGGATGCGAAGGAGGAAGCGGGGGATAATGATGGAGTGTGGCGGGGTCTGTAATGTGAGGTCCTTCTGACAGCCTTAACGACTCCGAGGGCAAGGTTAGAAAATAAAGTTTATTTTCCTGCTACATGAAAGCCCGTCTGGGAAGAAAGTCGTCTTTTAGAAGATTGATGCCATTGAAAGTCGGGGTTTGTAGGTGAGCTCCTCGGGAGCCGCGTAAATTTTATTCCAGTTGATTAAATGCCAGCTTAATCAGAACTGTTTACACAACCGTAGCGTAATGAAAGAGCAACGTTTTTAGCATAGTAGATGGGTGAAAATGGGCCAGTGTAAGACTGAAAATATGACAAAGACGACACACCAAAGTACTAATTAAGCTTCTTAATTGGGAAAATAATAATGCCCTTTTCAGGTGTGTGCTGGCACCTCGCATTTCCCAAATACACGAAGGGTCTAAGGAAAGTCAATACTATGTAGGATGCCAAAGTAAGCCTTCTGTCTGTGCGTAATCCTAAGGGCTTCCTTCCCTTTATTTGCGGCTAAATGCGTGGCTCCTAGAGGTCCGAAATGCGGTGTGTCGCCTACGCTGGCTAACACTGTTTCTTTTGTGCAAACAACGACTTCAGTCACTGGAACCGAGCTCAACTTTGAAAAGATGGTCCCCCCACCCCGGATGTAGTCCCGTTTAAGCCTTTCGACGAGTTAAGCCTGTATATAAAAATATGTCTCATAACAAACATGAATGCAAGCCAAGAGAGCAACCACTGCCTCCCAGCCTATACATTCATGTCCTGGTACAGGAGCAGCATTACTCTTACTTTTGTTTTAGCTAGGGTTTGCCTTTTTTGAGCATACTTAGCACCTAATTTAGTCATAAATTGGATTTAGACTGGCCCAAAAGCCTAAGTTTTTAAAGTTAAATGTGCAGGATTGTGTAGCTACAGGAGCTACCAGCGTTCTGTTGCATATGGATGTCATATGACCGTGGAGTTAATCAGTTCGGCTTCCTCCAAACCTTGGAGGAGTATTATGGGAAAGCTCTAAAGAGAAGGTAGTGCTTTAACCCCCGTGACCGGACAGCGTCGTTCTCTGAACTATTTAATTACTGTTTGAGTTATTTTCTTGTTATGAAAGGCTGAAGCTTTGGGGGAAAAATCCTGCTGACTGTTTTCTGCTGAGTCATTCCACTGGTTTATCAGAAGCATTTCACCAACACTGTAACACAACTCGCGCCAATCGCAATCAAATCCTTTGTTCATGAGCTCAGAATCGGAATTCCCCTTTTCAAGGTAGAAATAAAATAGAGTAAAATGCAGGACACCTGGGATTTGTCTGCAATAACAATTGGTACCAATTTAAAGCAAATCTCCATTCAGTCTGAATATATTCTCAATGTATTAGTAATGTATATCGCTAGTATGAATCCGCTTACCTTATTTCACCCTTTCTGTAATTCTTTTTTTCTCTGAAAGCTCTGTAGAAGGGACAGATGCTCAGAACATCGATGCTCTCCTGATGGAGCAAGCCAGAGCATGCAAGCCCATGACAGATTATTCTGAATCTTCACGTAGTTGGCATGTGATGTTTCAAGTTGACAGTTCTGGTTTTGTGGTCAGATCTCAGGAATCCTGACAGTGGAAGTTTTTGTTTGCTTGCTGGTTTTTGTTGGGTTTTATTTTCCTAACAGCCAGCCCCATTCTGGTCTCCGTTTGGCAAGCATTTCAGAAACAGCTGGTACGTGACCATATGCCGTGCTGGCACTGCTGCGAGCTTATTTCCCACTTGTCCTCCTGGTCAATCAGAGCTGCTCCGTGTGCTGAAGGACAGCTGGTCCCTTGGCATGCGAAGCAGCTAATGAACTTTTCCTCCAAAAAGCTGTAGGGATAGAGCATGCTAACTCCCACCAGAGGCTGTTCCTTTCCGTTATCAGAGGTGGAAGTTCTCTATGGGACCTCAGTTTGTTGCCCCTGTGTGACAACCTGCACACACTGAGAACAGCTAGGTGGGTGTGCGTTGTAGGTGACAGTGCTTGTTTGGAAAATGAAGGCTAAATGATCTGTGTTGAAAAGAATGCTAAGCCACATCTGAGCGACTGATGGATTCGTGCTTTTAGCTGTCAGCCCCAGCAAGTACCACTGCTTCCCTTTTTCGTTCTGACCCCTGCTGGAAAAGGTCTCCAGTAAATTTCCGAAAAACCTATCAATTTCACCGTATAATATTTTTTCCTATTAAGGAACATATTGAAGGAGGAATTGCACAGCAGTTCAGTATTACATAGCCACGGCTTGTAAGCATTTTACTGTCTGCTTCCTTAAAATTGGTCAGTTTATAATATTCCCTAAAATTTCCTGCTAGGTGCAATAAAAACCCCCTGATTTTCCCTGAGCAGGGGTTCTGTATCAGTTACCTTTGAAAGTCATGATAACCAATCATCAGGCAGTCCTCTACTGTTCACACTTCATAAACTGCTCGTATGAAATGCTCAATAGAAGCAGTCTGCCCATTCAGCGTTTTAGAAATGGAGATAGAGCAACTTTCATGAGGGAATAAATGTAGTTTTAAGGACAAAGAAAGATCATCTAAGTGTGCAGAAGCTAAATATATGCATAAATTCATAGATATTTTTAAAATCCAGAAAATGGATGGACTTTAATGTAAAGTGAAACAAGGAACATCCAACCGATACATGATGCATTTTATTGGATATCTTGATGTACAGCTTCAGAAGTATATAATTATCTCTTTGAGACTACTTTGCTTAATTGCACGAAGGCTTGCATAACTTTTTTACTACTTTTCATGGTCCATTTCAGGTTTTGAGCAAAGACTCAGGCAAAACGTTC